CAGGAGCAGGGGGGAGCGGCCGGGTGGGGCAGTGGGTGGGTGCCCGCGCGCCAGGCTGGCACACTCCGGTTTGGCTTAGAGGGCCGACTGGCGCTGAATTGGCTGGGGAAATGGAGGCAGGTCCACATGGATCCCCGGGTCACCCCCCCCCCACATGGGCCAATCTGGGTTGGTCCTGATCCCCACCCTGGGGGGTTGGGCCCCCTGTTTTGCAGTCGTAGACGGGCTGCAGGGGCTCCCTGGTGCATGGGGGGGGGCTTTGCACCCAGTTGGCAGCTCAGTGATTTACAGGGACAGGCTGCAGGGTGGGGGTCCCATGTCCCTGACTCAGGCCCCTGCTTGGCGTACCTGGGGTTAGCGTGGCGGGGGATGGGATCGTTCTAGCTCTGGCCGGGGCATCGGGGGGCTAGGGCTTAGCGCGGGGCTGGCCGGGAGCCAGGACTCCTGGGTTTTATCCCCAGCTCCGGGTGAGCGTAGGGTCTAGTGGTTAGAGCAGGGGGAAGGCCCAGCCTGGGTTCTCTATCCAACGCGGTGTCACTGGTTCACCGCTTGGCAGGGACGGGGGATCGTGCCCAGGGTTAAAGGGGAGATGGGTTTAAATCAAGACTGAGCTCCAGGCTGGGTCCTTCGGGCCTTAGCCCTGAATAGACTCTCAGATGCCAAGTGGCACTGGTCCAACTCACTCGGGTTCTGGTTTCCCCAGCTGCTGGAGGTGTCACCCCATCCCACGCAGCTCGGCCCCCCACCCGCCAGAGCCCTGCTGCTCGCCCAGACGAGGACGCCGACCCCGTGGCCTGCAGCTGGCCCGGCGTGGAGCGAGCCCTTCACCTCAGCTGGATTGGAAGCCCCTCGGGCCGGGACCCCGGCCGGAATGTGCACGCAAACGCCGACGTGCCCTCTGGATCCCAAGGGGCGAGGGGGCTGAAATGGACGTGGCGAGCCAGGGAGGGGGGACGGCGTCCCAGCCCAGCCCAGCCTGGGATCCCTGGCTCATGGATCGGGGCTCCCGCCGGCGCCTGGGAGAAAGCGCCCTTCACACCAGGCCTTCCTCAGGCAGAAGATCCGGATGCTGCGGAAGGGGAAGGGGGTGGCGGGCTGGGAGCCTGGCACCGCCCGGAGCCGTCTCTGCCTAGAAGCCAACCACGAGAGCCCCATCCAGGCTGTGAGGCATCCAGGGGGCCAGGCCGGGGCCCGGGGCTCCCGCGGCCCGGGGCTCCCGCCAGGACTCGGGGCCGGACAGTGCAGGCTTCTCCCTGCTCAGAAAACTGCTGTGCTTCAAGGCAGCAAACCCAGGGAAGAAGGGGTGGGAGGAGCCACCCTGCGAGGGGCCTGGTGAGGGCACCGGGCACAGGCCCCTCGCTACCCTTAGCAGAAGCGTGGAGCCCTTTGGCGAGTCTCCGCTGAGATGGCGGCAAAGGGCTGCCTCCCCGAGCGCAGGCGGGACAGGCTCCAGCCCCTGGCGGGCTCTCTGCAACCTGATCAGGGCAAAGAGAGGCGCAGGGCCAGGTGGGGGCCAGCTGCCAGCGCCCAAGGCAGCACAAGGGGCAAAGAGGGACGGAGGAGATGCTGAGACACAAGGGGACCCGGGGGAGCTCATGGTCCCCACGGCTGATGCCCCCGTCTCAGAGACAGGGGGCTGCAGCGCGGCCTCCCTGGGCACAGGGGGGGAGAGAAACGCCGGAGCCCGGGGGGAGACGGGAGGCTGGGGGGTACTGCATGGAGGGCTGGGGGCCCAGGGAGGGGAAGGGCCAGGCCCACTGCCTGCTCCCACGCAGGGAGAGGAGGGGCAGAAGGAGTCGGATGCAGGGAATCCGGGCTGGGGGAGCCATGAGGGAATGGGGGACGGGGGGTCCAGCCCAGGCAGGCAGGGCGTGAGGGGGAGGCCAGCTGCTTGCGTGGACGGGAACGCCCCCGAGCAGCAGCTAGAGCAAGGGGCCACGACGCTCGCCCCTGGCACGTTGGCCAGTGCAGGGTCCAGCACCGACACTGCCGAGTCCCCCGTGCCCCCGACTCAGGGGGAGCTCAATGGAAACAGGGGCCAGCCCCCTGCTCCGGCCGGGGGAGAGTCCAGCTCCGGCAGAGATGCGACCTCTGCCCCACACCCGCCCTCAGCTGGACACCCCAGGCACGACCCGCTGGCACCCCTGGGCGCCAGGAATCGCGCCGCCCTAGGTGGAAGTGACGCCCCCTGTGCGCTGCAGGCCTGTCCTCTGGAGCAGCGTGGAGCAGGACTGGCGCCTGCCGGCTCAGCGCGGTGCCACGGGGAGCAGGCTCAGCCTGCCCCCCCCACCTCCTTGGCACTGGCTCTCACCCAGGTGGGCACCACGGACCAGGCAGAGGCTGCGGGAGGAAGTGGCATGGCCCAGGCCGCTGGTAAGGGTGGCATGTGCCCGCCAAGCGAGGGGGCTTGTCTGTGCTCCCCTGCTGCCAGGTTGCAGCAAGCCGGCCCGGGGGGCAGCGCCAGGGACCAGGAGGAGCAGGAGAAGCGGCTGAGATCGTGGCAGCCGCCCTAGACGCCGCGGGCAGGCAGGTGGCGAGGAAGCAGCGAGTGCCCGGCTGGGCGGGCAGCGAAGGGAGCCCGGCGGATAGGGAAGGGCTCCAGTGCTCATGAAGGATGGTGGCTTGGCCAGGCCAGTGTACCCCCCCCCCCACTGTGTCCCCTACCCTCTCTCGCCCTTTGGTGTCTGGTGGTTGAGTTTCTGTACTAATTACTGCTAATAAAAACGCCTTCCTGTTGCAGGAGCTCTGGTGGGTCCTTGCAGCAGGGGCAGCTCGAGGGGCCGACCTCCCAAGCCAGGCCCAGTCAACATCCTTTGGAGTCGGGATTGGACCTTGGGCACGGGCTGGAGTCAATATTATTACAGATGAGGAAACTGAGGCACAGGGCAGGACTGTGATTTGCCCCAGGTCATGCAGGAAGGCAGTGGCAGAGCAGGGATCGAGCCATGCCGGCGATAACGTCCCAGCTGGGAACAGAAGCCAGGACTCCTGCCTCTCGGCCTAATCCTGCTCTAACCCCTAGACATGACTCCCCTCCCAGAGTTGGGGATAAAACCCAGGAGTCCTGGCTCCCAGCCCTGCTTTGCCGTCCAGAGGTGGGAACAGAACCCAGCACCCAGCTGTTTCGCCTATTGCTAAGCTCCCCTGTTCTATTAGCGATCAGCCCAGAAACCCGTGTTGGGGGGTAAAAAAAGTCACAGCTGGTGAGAAGGGTCACGGGGAGCGAAATCTTTGTTCTGTTCCTACATGGGGCACCCTCCTTGGCCCTGCCCGCCCACCCTCCAGCAGCTCAGTGCCTCTCTCTTCACCCTCAGGACACGGCCTGACTGGCTCAGACGCCACCCAGCTAATGAACCCGGGGCCATTCCCAGCAACCCAATCAAACCCAGCGATCAGCGCGAAGGGAGCTTGACTCACAGCAGAGACGCAGGCTGGGCGGAGATGGATTTCATTCAAATCTTCCTCCAGCTGCCGCTTTCTGGGGCGCACAGACACACCGGCTCTGCCTCCCAGCAAGGATCCCGCGATTCGCCCGTGGAACTCCCTTGCCACCGAGGCCCAAAGAGGACTGGCCTCGTATACGGATAACAACAGCCAGAGCTAGTCCGATGCCTGAGAAATAACCGAGACTTTGAGAGAGAAACGCTCACGTGCCAGGGCCTGAACCAGCCGCTAAGCAACACCCTCACCCTGGCTCAAGCCCCTCAGCGGGGCACTGGCACCCAACTCTCCTCTGCGCCAGTGGGAATTAGGCACCTAAATCACCCTGAGGATCGGGGCCCAGGCCAGCTCTGCTCCCCCCCC